TCTGACTCATACTGACTCATTCTGACTCATACCTACTCATACTATCTCATTCTGACTCATACCGACTCATACTGTCTCATTCTGACTCATACCTACTCATACTATCTCATTCTGACTCATACTGACTCATACTATCTCATTCTGACTCATACCGACTCATACTGTCTCATTCTGACTCATACCAACTCATACTGTCTCATTCTGACTCATACCTACTCATACTGTCTCATTCTGACTCATACCTACTCATACTATCTCATTCTGACTCATACTGACTCATACTGACCTAGGAGTCTGTCTCATATATATGATTCTGATTCCTACCAATTCATACTGACTCATTCTGACTCACACTGAGTCCTACCGACTCATACTACCTCAAACAGTCTAATTCTGACTCATGATAACTCCTTAGGAGTTAGTATCAGTCAGCATAAATTTCTGTCTTTCTGAGTCATACCAACTCATACTGATTCATTCTGACTCATACCAACTCATACTGATTCATTCTGACTCATACTGACTCATACTGACTCATTTACCTCTGACTGTTATAAAGCATTGACACTGGAGACTCCTTCCTTAAATGTTAAATAAGCTGTTACTATAGAAACGATTACGTATCAGAGCGAGTGCATTAATATAAATCTGCGCTACTGTCAGAGCTGCTGTTATAGAGAATTAATCAACACCTTCTGACCAATCAGAGACCAGAACTCAACATCAACATGGAGTAATTACATAATACTTATTTGTTAAAGCTCATGACATCACATATAAGCTTATAAGTGAGTGCTGTTTTATGTGGAAAACTGAATAATACTGAATACTGTGTGTGTGTGTGTGTGTGTGTGTGTGTGTGTTTTGTCTTGTTTCAGTGAAATCAAATCCTTTTTAGGCGTAATGCACGTTATGGGCCATGACATCAGCGGCCTTCGTTATCCTCAGGCTGACGCTGGGGTGGAAATTCGAATAATCACTCGTGTACACACCCACACACACACACACACACACACACACACACACAGAGTCATTAAATGTGTCTGTTCCGCTCTCGTGTGCTGTGGACGGCGGTACAGGGTCATTAGTCTCGATTCTGTGTAGCCTGTAGCCCAAACACCATAAACACACACACACACACACACACACAAACACACTCTTTCCATAGGCGTAGATTAATTTAGGTTAAAAGTTTGCTGCACACATTCAGATGTGATGCACTTTAACATTTCAGAAGAAGGCAGTTTATCTCAGTAAAGCTCTCTGTGTGTGTGTGTGTGTGTGTGTGTGTATGTGTGTGTGTGTGATTTACTAACAGGATGAAAGGATGTGTAAGAGTTTTGTCTTTAACGTGATCAGAATAACACGTCTTTCTCGAGCCTCTGTGTTGAATATGTACATTGGGTTGTTTCTACCTAAATCTGCAAAAGTTGTGGGCGGGGTCAATGCAAATCGATTACGTTAATATGTAATATGTAAATATGTTGTTTTACATAAAAAATATTTTAATTACAAATATAAATTTAAGTCACTTTTTGGGAACGTGATTGTATACGCAAATTATTAGAAGAGCATGTATTAAATTTGCATAAGCCCTTTTTCTGCTGAAGGCTAAATAAAATATTGACTACAGTTAACACGTAAAAATCGTAAATACTTTGGCTATGTAAAAATCGTAAATGCTACAACTATGTAAAAATTATAATTAATATAGATATGTGCAAATTGTAAATGCTACTGTATTTACAATGTAAAAATAGTTAATGCTACTGCTATGTAAAAATCATAAGTCTTATGGCTACATAAGATTGTAAATTTTACAGCTACATAAAAACTGTAAATGCTACAGCTACCTAAATATCATAAATATTATGTCATTAACAACATAAAATTCGTAAATCCTGGAACTATGTAAAAAAATCATCAATGATATGACCACGTGAAAATTGTACCTGACACAGCTATGCATTAATCATATGACTATATAAAATTCGTAAGTGTTATATAAAAATTGAAAATGATACAGCTACATAAAAATCGTAAATGCTATGATTACATAAAAAATGTAAATGATATGACTACGTAAAAATCCTGAATGCTACAGCTGCTTTAAAATTTTAAATGCTAAGGCATTTACAACGTAAAAACCGTAAATGCTACGACGACTTATCAATTCTACGGCTGCGACTAAACAGCTGTGATGTCGTAAACCTGACAATTGCAGATGCTACAGCTACGTAAAATTCGTAAATGCTCAGGCTAAACCGTAAATGTTGGCATGTCTGGATAAACTGTACATTCATGTCCACTTTAAATAAATACCAGAAACAAAACGTCTGAACGATGCGATTTTTCATCCTATAGCTAATCAGATCAAAAGTGTGTAGGCTAGAAAAGGGGGCGGAGTTATCTCTGCACCTGTAATATATGCACTTTAACCTGTTTCGTCTATGTTAATAGTTTCTTTACTCTGTTTATTTATGATGTGTGGTTACCGGGG